CGTATGAACTCGCAAAAGGAGGCTCTAGCTACGGTAGAAAAAACAGAGAACACGGTAAGATTTGCTGGTGAAATTAACCTTTTTAGGCCAACTCTAGCAGCCGAACTGCAGACATCGGATGCGCTCTCCTCGAGGCTTCTTTGTCTTCTGTCTCTCATGCTACAATGGGATCTAACCTCCTTACTAATTCCGCAAATCCAGTGCTTTCGTCTAGTCTTGTTGCCTCGTATGGTGATGGAGATGAAAGCGATGAAGGAAATGTCTCGCCTGTTGCTGCGTCTGGCTTGACTGCTCCCAGGAGTGCTGCAGAGTCCAAAGTGGCCGATGAAGAAGCAAGGTATTTATCTGAGTTTATTGCTTTATTCATATCATGATTATAATTATTAAATTTTCTTTAGACTTTTCGATTGGACAAAATTGGCGTGTCTCCTGTGTTCCCGTGGGTTTAAGGATGTCGCTACCCTTCAGAAACACAAGGCTTTCTCAGCTCTTCACTTTACTAACTTAAACAAGCTGCGTGCCAAATATGACTTGCCTCCTGTACAGCCACCTTCGGGTTCTGCTGCATCTAATCCTACCATTTCTTCGAATGAACTTACAACTCTTCCTGAATCTCTTTCAATCGATGCTCTTCTGCAATTAGGTGCCGTTACCGCGAGTAATCATGCCAAGAACGCTGCTGCCCGGCACCGTATTGCTAGTGAGCAAGCTAATGCATTGGCACAGGCTGTTTACCGTGATCGGGCTAAAGAGCGTCGTGACCGCTATGGAACTTCGTCGCCCCCTCGCCGTCGTAAACGAGCCGATTCACCCCCACCATCTCCAATCCCTACACCGCCTCCTCCGTCTCATTCATCAGCCGTAAACACAAGTCCTCAGCCTGCGACAACTTCGGCTGAGCCTGCTGGTAAATTTATTTGTTTTTCGAATTATCTCATTTTAGTGTTGTCTCACGCAATCATCTTGCTTGTGTTACTCTTAACTTCATTTTTTGATTGGTCTCTTAGCGAAAAGTCCTCCATATATCCATTTCCTTTTACCCAAATACTTAGCGCAGGTTTATGTGGCATTTTAGCCAAAATACCCTGCTACATTATTTGCCGTTGTGATTATCGGATATTTTTATATGCGATGACGACGGCGGCCACATTAAACTTACCTTAATTTCCATTTTATGATTCATTATTTTTTTCGGTCAGAATTATACCAATCTCGATGTCTTCTATACGTATACTTTTTTCCTTTATAGGCGCAAATGTTGGCAGCAGGCTCATGGAGAAGATGGGCTGGCAGGCTGGTCAAGGACTAGGTCGAGCCAATCAGGGGAGGACTCAGATTATCGAAGCGGAATTTCGCGAGCATGGTGTTGGCTTGGGAATCAAGAATTCAAAACGAGGACCTCCCTCTGATAACTACAAGGATAATGTCAAGCGAGCTATGTTCGCCAGATTTCATGAACTTGAATGAATTATCGTGGCAGCGCCCTCTTGTATATACCACTGCAGCTCGAATCATCACTTCTAGTTCATTCACGTATATGTACATTTCTAAATAGTATCGTGTCTCTTTCTCGTTCATGTGTTTTGATTTGTATGAGTGCTCGACTTACTACTCTACATAAGGTTCCGGCATACATAAAGACATACTCTTGTGCTCAATTCACATGGTGCTAAACTGCCAGGCAACGAAGCCGTCGGCAGCTGGTATAATTGTTCGGTTGTATTCCTTAATCGTATTGCACTTTATAAACATTCTACATTATGAGTGGGGCTTTCAATTATTTGCTGAGGTTGGTGATGTATGCAGTCTTCCGGCATCAGCTATTATCTTCAGCCTTAATGCGCACAACGCTTGATGAAGGCTCCATTATTCAGCTAATCTCATGACGAGGTATTCTGTTGGGCTGATTCGCTCGTCTCGCGTCACTGCGACTGATTTCCTGGACATACGATGAGGCGCGAAAGTGTTGTTATGCCATGGCATTACCAAGGGGCTGATGGTAGGCCCTTGGATCAATTCGCATGCTTAATTATAATCATGCAGACAAAACGGAAAAATATAGCTGAAAAAACACCATATAATTAGGTGGTCGTAGAGAAAAAAACATCCAAATTGTAAGGCAAAGGCAATAACATTAGTAAATTCACCGCTAAGTGAAATAGCAGTGGTAGTCACGAGCGTAGTTAGTGAGTGGTGCAATTGCGGCGGGGGGTTCAGAAAGACTTTTGAAATGGTTTGTGTCAATAAGGTAATCGGTGGTGTCGGCCTTGATAGTGTCCAAGCCGAGGAGCTAGTTAGGTGGACCACATTTAGTGCTGTCGAGTCGGTGGCGATTGTCTACTCTCGGCGTAAGAATAAATAAAGGTTGCGAAAGTTACGAGTAATGCACCTGCCACAAATCCGTATGATAATTGGAAGTTGAATATGAAGATAGAGAGAACAAAGTTAATCACTATAGCTGCCGAGGTGGCAAAACCTTTAAGAATGTTATCGGCGTAACGGACAACCGCAGCTACTAGGAGACCACCCAGCGACTGAACAAAGATGGTTAGCCAGACGAGCCAGTCGTAGCCAACAAAAAATCCACGATCAAGGACAACTTTACCGTCAGTGAGGAAGACGCCAATCAGACCGACAGCGATGCCGTACAGCGATAGTTGTATATTGCGCATGGCCACGCTTTGGACGGTTTCCTTTAGCAGTTTTTCAAAGAAGACGCCAGCGAACCCGGAACACATGCATGCCAGCACAACGGATGACATTCCAAGTAATGGCGATTCGGGCCGTTTCGATAAGCTGAATATCACAGACAAAAAATATGTATAGCACATTAAGCTCATTTTTCAAGATGGAGGATGGCGTGAGAAAGTTTTGTGAAAAGGGATGGATGTAGCTTCTATTCGATCAGTATTTAGTCCTAATATAGGTGGAGAGGTTCGCTGACGCCTTTGATGTGCTAAGTTAACTAGAGCAGTAATTAATAATGATAGCTGCAGGGGTCGGCCTTAAGGGTTCCGTATCTAGCTTCCATTTTTCAGCAAGGGCAAATATCAACATTATTCAATATAGGTGAAAATAGTGATGAGTCCTACTGAACATAGAAGGCAATCAACAATCTGCTTTCATACCCCGGGATACTTCAGTCCGCTGCTCACGAAAGAGGGTAGCTACGCGCTTTAAGCATCAAATTTTTTGGCAATAATAAGAAACAAGTGGCACAAATCTCAAAATTTAATACTTGTTTCAGGGAGTTGTAGATAGGTACCAATGACGATAACATTGTCAGGGCTTTTCACCTGGCTTTTTAATTTGCCAAATAACGCCAACTTGTGAAACTTTTATATATAATCACATTGGATGTTTAGAAATGGTTTATTTTCAGAACATAAAAGCGAGAACATCTTGCCAGAGGCTGACGAAGCTTAGATTGATGAGGAACTGACTACTTACATTAGTCATTCATAGGTAGGGTCTCAAGACTACCAGTAAATCAGTTATATGAGATGTATTCAGCTCAGACGAAATAAGATGAATAATTATATTAGTACTAGTGAGAAACCACGATTGGTAGATCTGTATAAAGAATAAGAAATATCTTATGGAAAACAAGTCGATATCGGATCCAACAAACTCGAAGTATCTATAAATCACGATTAATTGATTAAAAAAATAACTGTGAACGCGAGTGCCCTTGGTTTAGGTCCAGTTGATGAAGAACTCACAGCGAGGTAGAACTTGCGATCAACTGTGAAGAAGAAGGCATTTTTAGGATATGACATTGAACTTTCATAATCAAAACTGACTACCAGTTCATTATTAGTAGATTATACGTGATCTTTTCAACTAACGATATGCCAGTAGCGAAGCACTAGTTCTTAAAAGATAAATTATCAGAAGCTTAACCATCAGTGGCCTACGGTGACAAATCCCTTACTCATACTTGTCTACGATTATGTGGAGCGCATTCACCCTTTTTCGTTTAAGGTGATAAGAGGACTGGTATTTCAATGTCTTCCACAATTATGAGTAGACTTTACATTTCACATAGCCCTGCTATTCTAAGAGGTATTCTGATCCAGGGTGGACTACAGTTTCGATCTCGCCTATCAACACCCTTAGCAGGACTAACCATGATAGCGCAGCGTATAATCCTAACACGTTAACTAGTGTGCCACATTGCCACGAGTCCCCTTAGGTAACAGGGCAGATTTTAACTTTAAGGAAGGCGAAGCATTTTCCAATATCACATTCTGTGGTTGGATTGTTGATGAATAAAAGTTGTACTTGTATCAATCAACTACCTTATGCTTCATTATAAGTAAACTTTCGAGGTTTTAATTTGAAATAAGCATCAAGGAAAAATATTCATCAATAGCAAGAGGACTCATAATCTATTTAATTTATTCCTAACCTACTTGCTACTCAAGTATATAGGTTCAAAAGTCTTTAAAACAATAATCTAACAGGTATCAGCCCCAGATTTGAGCTAGCTAAGGAATGATCCAAACAAAATTGACCTTAGAAAGTAGGTTGACCTCGTTGTTGCAACTTGGTCTTGTTGTAAGGGGGACTATGTAGAACGCACCTAGTCCGAAGTCGTCTGCCATAGTAGTTGTCTTGATTCCCAGCATCTGACAGTGGAATTGATACATTCTCAAACGTTTCGCCGGCATCGTAGTCGTCATCATCAATGAGCCTTGCCATTCTCCGCAACAAGATACGAACTCGTCAAAGAGATAAGTGAAGTCAATGCATCGACAACCGTTCTGCTGGA